ACAAAGTTTGGACAACACTGGTGTACAGCATCCCCCTTGTTATAGAAGAGGATACCTGGGCTACATTTTAGCCCGGGGAACATGCTAGCCCTGATTTTGGGAATGACAGACACTCATGATACACTCAGAGTATCTCAGGGACAAGGCACTCTTTTGTCCTGCTTCGCTCAAAAGCGAGTGGGTGGTTGTATTCAGCGGGCACCTGGAAATAGCCATGTTACTGCATCTCTTTCTTTGCCTCTTCCCAAATGTTTCTCTTCTGCAGCTACATCATCCATGAGGCACACCGATGCCAGCACTCCTACCCGGCAAGCCTTATCACTGGGACAGCCAGACAAGGTCGCCTTACGGCTTGCCTCCAGCAGCAGCACCCAGGTAAGGAATGGCCTCCTTCCTGAGAAAATTCTTTGTGTAGGAACGGTGATTCACCCAAGTAGGTGAGAGGAGAAAGGACCTCTTAATCAGATGAGCAGGAAGGTTAGATGCTTTAAACTCTAATAAAACGTTGCTGGGTTATCTTCCCATGAACATGTCCAAGAAAGCCGTTATCTGCAGAGCAAGCTGTGACTCATTGTCAGCTGCCTAGTGAAAGTGACGCGGCCTGCTTCTCTCTAAAACAAGCAGTTGAGCAGTTGAGAGCCAAGCCTTTCAGTTCACCCCAAGCACCGTTGATTAAAAGCAAAGGGCAGAGCCCACTGAAAACGCATCTCAGCCGGCCTGCTCGGAGGACTTCAGTGTGATTCAATGGTATGGTCAGCTAACCTTTCAGAGTCTTATGGGGGGTTTAAGGGAAGTCCATCATAGGTCCAGGTTTGGAGAAAAAGGTACCGTCAGGCCAGGAAGACATTTATCTGTCAGGTTGATGTTCTAACTCTGGGCTGAGGGTTCCACTGTGCAGTGGCGAGTAACGAGAGAATTCTTGGCCCCATTCTCTTTGGGATGATCAAGCTGTAGGTTGTGATGCTACGTTTGCAAAACTAGCATCCCAAAGAGATTGTGGATTAGGGTGAGAGCTTTATTCTCTAGCATGCAACTTCCAAGGTGCTGATTTGATATATATAGAGAGATGAATGTATAGCTATATTACAGCATCCTCTGCTTGCATCTGAAGCAGCACAACTTCACCACTTAATAAAAAAATTAGTCTTGAGTAACAAACACCTCTCCATAAGTATTCTCCCTGCTTTGGGATTGTCTTGAACAACGAAGACCTGGAGAATAAAACATGAATTAAAATGAACCCTGCAGAAAGAAGCTGTCAAATTCATTCCTGCACTGGATGGATTATGATGTCCTTTCTTCCTGTTTTCCTTTTTCTTTTTAATAGGGCATTATAACTCCCCCCGAACATCTTGTACAGCATCACATGACGCAGCCCGCTGTTCCTGCACAACAAGCAGTCATGGTACATTATCCGTAATGCAAACCAATGTTACATAGGCCTTGTAACCAAGGAATACAAAGATCCTACCTGACCTCTAAACTGAATAATGATTAATTGTACTTGACATGGGATAGGCAAGTTTGGAGCCAAGTTTCTTGCTCCTATTTAAGACCTTTAACTGTTAGCATCTGAGACATGGGAAATGCGACATCATGTGCGGTGGGAAACTGGATCTTGAATCAGAAGCGAGGGAAAGAAGTCACAATGTCATCGTTTTCAATGGGAGAGTGTTAGGTTAGACCAGTGTGTCTCAGCCTTAGCAACTTTAAGAGATGTGGACTTCATCTCCCAGAATTCACACCCTGGCTGGGGAATTCTGGGAGTTGAAGTCCACATCTCTTAAAGTTGCCAAGGTTGAGAAACCCTGGGTTAGACCTTTCCAGTAAAGCCAAGAAGAAGTCTTGTGGCATTGTAGAGACAAACCAGTCTACTTCAGTTGGATCTCAGTCCGTTTCATCAGATACTAGGTGTGTGGGAAAAGACCATTTGGCTCGGCAATTGTTGGAAAGAAAGGAAAAAGGGGGCAGGGAGGAATTAAAGGCAAAACGAGAAGCTGTGATAATAAACAAAGCGATAATGAGGAGTGATATTAATATTTGTGCGTGGAATAGTTAGCGCACGTACGTGGGGTGGTAATAGCCATTGTTTTTACAAAAAGTGGTGTGAGTTGGTCTTGTGCTTGCAGCCAGTGTACCATTTCCCAACACAAATGGGGATGATGCATCAGCTGAAGGAACAGCTGGAAGAGCGGACACGCATATTGCAAGCTGACATTAAGACCCAGCAAGAGGAGCTGCACGTAATCAAGGAGCAGCTACAGCTTGTGCAGGACTCCAATTTGCAGGTACCTTGGTTAGGCTGCTTTTGCAGGGGGCGGCCCCTAGTTGACCTTGATCAACTTCAGAAGCTCAAGCAGGGTCTGCCCTGCTGATGACTTGGGTGGGCAATCACTTGGGAATTGCAAGGCTGCTGGCTAAAGTGAGAAGTCAAAGAAAAAAAAAAAACTGAGACATTCAAAGAAGGCAAAGGCAAATTACTACCAAGAAAACTTCATGAGTGCGTCCTTGGGTATTGAGCTTGATTCTAAGATGTCTTTACCTTTCCTGTTAGGTTAAAGTAGTTTCTTCAAATTGCAAGTGGTGTTAAGAAGATGGAAGATGTCGCCTTCCTCTTTATATTTTGGCAAATACGTACTGGGATAGAGAATCCAGACCAAGAGTCTGTGTGTCTATGGAGAGGGAGGTGTTAACCCATTTTTTTCCAATTTTCATGTACCAGGCTTAGCAAAGAGAAGGACGTTTCTTAAAACAATGAGTCTGTTTTCTGCCTAAAATTTCTGGCCATTTTTTTTTTAAATAACAGTGTATAGATTTTGCCGGGAAATGTTCTGTAAAGGTTCAGTTTTAATTTTGGAACATTTAATCTTTAATTACCAACAGCTGGCTGACATCTAGTGGATATTCTGGTCATTGTTCCAAGTGGTTATGGAGATTCTGAATTGCCTGTTCTTTCCATTCTTAGAGACTAGGGGAATTTCCTTGCACCGAACTCGCAGAAGCCTCTTGCGTTTGCGTTCTTTAAATTCCCAGGCAACCTCTTTTCTCTCAAGGAAAGGTTTCGATGCATTCCCAAGACACAGGTGCTCGTCAGAAACGGGCAAATCTGTCCTTTGTCTTGTTGTCCCAGGTGGAACTTGGTACCAGACCTCTTTCACGCAAATCCACGCAAAAATCTACCGGCACCAAAACCGATACGCACGATGCCTATTTCTCCCAATGTGTGCATTCTTCCATGCCTTTCCTGATAAGGACACTCTTTGCAAGTTGCTTTTCCTTAGTGGAATATATGTTTGCCTACACCAGTGTTGTCCAAACTTGGCCACTTTAAGATGAGTGGACTTCAACTCCCAGAATTCTGGGAGTTG